TGCTCTCTCTCTCTAATTTTGCTTTACCCAGAATGTTATACAGTTAGGATTATACAGTATGTAGCCTTTTTACACTTTGCACTCAGCAGTATGCATTTTAGAGTAATTTGTGTCTTCTTGGCTGGGTAGCTTCTTTCTTTTTATTGCTAAATCATATTTAATTTCACGGATGTGCCACAGCTTGCGTACCTACTTGCCTGTTGCAAGACCCTTTGGTGTTTTCTGTTCGAGTGATTGATTAGGAGTAGAGCTTCTATCAACAGTTAGTTACATGTGTGTGGGTTTTTGTTTGGACATAAGTCTTCGTATCAGTTAGGTAATTACCTAGTAGTGTGACTGCTGGTTCATATGTAAGACTATATTTAGCTTTATAAGAAATTGCCAAAAAGTCTCCCAAAGTGACTGCTATTTTGCATTCTCACTAGCAAAGGATGAGAGTTCTTGTTACTCTGCTTCCTCACCAACAACTGATATGCCATTTCTTGGATTATAGCCGTTCTCATAGGTATGTAGTGAAAACTCATTCTTTATTTTACCTTCAATTCATTCATGAAAATTGAACATCTTGTCATTTGCTTATTTGCCATACCTTTATCTTCTTTGGGTAGTGTCTGTTTAGATCTTGGACTCGTTTTTAATTGGGTTGTTTTTCTTGCTGAGGATTGAGCATTCTTTGTATATTTTGTCAGATATGTAATTTTGCAATTTGGCAAATAAGACTTGTGTAATAATTCACTAAGATGAAATAAGATGACAGGGAGTGATGAGTCAATTCTGACTTTTTATTTTCAGCCTAGGTTTCTGAGAAAATGGAGAGTAACAGAAAAAAGGAAAGTTGAGAGTTAAAATCGCCTTGGGAAGAAGTGGGAAGGAGATGGATCATTTAGTTTTGAGTCAAGATGGAGCTTGTGATGGAACAATATCCAAGGACTAGAGATCAAAACATATTAAGATGCTAGATTCAGATTCTACTGTTGTCAGTGATTATTGAAGAGAATGCAGAAGTAACGTGCAAATAGGAAGTTAGGGTAAGAGCTGTGTAGTATTGGTTCACAAAAGTGGTGGAATGCCATTTAAAGAAGGAATCAATGATCAGATATCTGCTATGTTATGGGGGAGATGATCAGAGAGTATGAACTGTGCATTGTCTATGTTCTTGAAGGTCAAGTTCGCTGTTGGCTTCCTTCAACACCCTGTGCCTTTTGTGTCTAGGAGGAACTGGCTGTCAGGGGAGGTCTCTTTACTTAGAGTCTTTCATGTTTAACACCTTGTAAAATTTCTCAAATAGAATTGTGCATCATTGGGGCTCTTTTGCAGGGTGAACAAACTGGGGTCTCATTTTTAAAAATCTATTACACATATCCATCCCTCTATATAAATCTATATTTCTGTGTCTCTATCTTTGTCTCTATATCTCTCTATATAAATATATTGCTTAAGTTGACTGTTTACTGAATTCACTGAAAGAAATCATTTGCCTTCTCAGTTACACTGTTCTGTTTAGACTCATAACAGTCATGACTTTCATCCCCTGCAGAATCACACCCATCAATTCTGTGCCATGTCTGGTGGTGAAACACACAGTCTGTTGCCTGGAGTCAGAGATTTGCTTCTTCTCCTTTTTTTTTTTTCACTGCATCTCAAAGTATAATTTGATTATTGTCTCTTTCATCCAACCATCCCTAAAGATGATACTGTTATTGAATAATTTGCAGAGAGTACACAGTAGTAGAAACAATGACCATTACTGAGTGATAATTATTGCTAGCTTGTTTGAGATTTGATGTTTGTGAAATTGCACAGCAATATAACACACCAAATGCAGAACCCATATCCAGTATGAAAACATGTGAAGGTGCTTTGAGAGCCCTATGTCTGTTACAGTGAAGTTCCCACTAGACTACGAAAATTAGTTCGGTGAAACAGATGACATACACAGACTGTCGATGAACAAATGTCAAGGTTATTCTGAGCTGATGATCATTGGATTTAGTGCTCCTGAGAAAAAGTAGGATTTGTGTTGTAAACAATAAATAACAAGAACGTAAACATCTTTTTAGGGCCTGAAAAGTACCAGTGGTACATTCTCCTCTTTGGAACTCCTACTCGAGTTTCATCGGCCCTGAGTGTTGAATCTGTAAGCGCAGTTCATACACCGGATACATACTTGGTGGGGAACAGCTGCACAGCTGGAGCACGGTGTCAGTTCAGACAGACGGCGCAGAGTCCCCTTGGAGAGCAGCTGTTCGTGATGTCGTATCTAGAGTTTCAAATCACTGAAGTCCCAACTTGACTTTTTCTACTATTTTTTATAGTATAACATATAGTATAACAGAAAATCGCCATTTTAATCATTTTAGGTATACAGTTTAGGGCATTAATTATACTCACAATGACTTCCGGTCAAGATGGCGGCGTAGGTAAACGCGGTATGCGTCCTCCCACAACCACATCAAAGTTACAACTAAACTACAGAACAACCATCATTCAAAACCGCCTGAAATCAAGCTGAATGGAAGTCGTACAACTGGAACTAAGGAAAAAAAAAGCAGCTACATCCAGACCGGTAGGATAGGTGGTGGCGCGAGGGGGGGCGGCACGCTGCGGTGCGACTGGCTGGTCCCACACCCATCGTGGTGGATAAAAATCAGGAGGCTCCCGCGGCTGGGAAGGTCCTTCCTGAGGACTGAGGGGTCCCCGTCCCACACCAGGTGCCCCATTCAGGGTTCTAGTGCCAGGAAGAGAAGTCCCCATAACTTCTGGCTGGAAAAACCAGCGGAAACTGAGGCTCAGGGAAGCTGATGCGGATGGAGCCCCAGGCAGCTCCTCTTAAAGGGCCCGCGCACAGACTTATCGGACTCTCTCCCTCTAAGCTCGGAGGGGAGGCAGCTCGAGGGGCGCCAGAGACATACAGGGAAGAACTGAGCTGTTTGGCACTGGAGCGAGCGCTGGAGAGGGGGCTTCCCCGGGGACAAACGTGCTGTAAGAGGCCTTTGTTCCTTTGGTGAGCCCTTCCTGGGGGCGGCAGACAGAAGCCATATCTGGGACTCCAGCAACCTGGCTCACACTGGTAGCCCCGCCCTGCTGACTGCCTGAGGCCCCGCCCCGCCCCACCCCACACAACTTTCAAGCCCACCCAAGCTGTTGCCACTTGCTTAACCATAGGATTGGCCGTCTTGGATCCTGCTTCAGGTTTTTCCTAAATTCTTTCAAACGAGCAGCACCGGGTCTCAGCAAGCCCCATACCTCTCATTAAGTAATACACTGAAACAAACACAGGGAGGCAGCCAAAATGAGGAGACAAAGAAACAGGTCCCAAATAAAAGAACAGAACAAAACCCCAATAAAAGAACTAAGCAAAAGGGAGATAAGCAACCTAAGAGATACTGAATTCAAAATACTGCTTATAAGGATGCTCAATGAACTTAGTGAGAACCTCAGTGAACTTAGGGAGGGCCTCAAGAGCATAAAAAAGGACCAGTTAGAAATCATGGATACACAGTTAGAATTAAAGGAGGCATTAACTGAAATAAAGAATAATTTACACAGCTTCAATAATAGAGTATGTAAATCCAAGGAGCAAACCATCGATTTGGAATATAAGGAAGCAAAAAATGCCCAATCAGAACAGCAAAAAGAAAAAAGAATCCAAAAAAATGAGGATAGTGTAAGGAGCCTCTGGGACAACTTCAAGCGTGCCAACATTCGCATCTTGGGGGTGCCCGAAGGAGAAGAGAAAGAACAAGAAATCGAAAACCTATTTGAAAGAATAATGGCAGAAAACTTTCCTAACTTGGTGAAGGAAACAGACATACAAGTCCAGGAAGCACAGAGAGTCCCAAACAAGATGAACCCCAAGAGGCACACACCAAGACACATCATCATCAAAATGCAAAAGGTTTAAGACAAAGAATATTAAAAGCAGCAAGAGAAAGGCAGCTAGTTACCTACAAGGGAGTACCCATTAGGCTGTCAGCTGATTTCTCAAAAGAAACTTTGCAGGCCAGAAGGGAGTGGCAAGAAATATTCAGAGTGATGAAAACCAAGAACCTATAACCAAAATTACTCTATCCTGCAAAGCTGTCATTTAGAATTGATGGACATATAAAAACTTTCCCAGACAAGAAAAAGTTAAAGGAGTTCATCACTACCAAACCGTTATTATATGAAATGATGAAGGGTCTTTTTGAAGAAAAAGATAAAATGTATGAACAAACAAAATGGCAATGAATACATATCTATCAACAATGGAATCTACAAACAAAATGAACAGGAAGAACAGAAACATTCTCATAGATACAGAGAACATTTTGTTGGTTGCCAGTTGGGAAGGGGGTTGGGGGAATGGGTGAAAAAGGTGAAGGGATTAAGAAGCACAAATTCATTACTAGACTGACAAACCTCAAAGGGAAAGGGGTTGGGGGGGGGGGTGGGAAGAAATAAACCAAAGAACTTATATGCATAACCAATGGACACAGACAATAGTGTGGGAAAAGGTGGGAGGGGGGCGGGAGTGGGGAGGAGGGGGTCAATGGGGGAAAAATGTGGAACATTTGTAATACATTTTACATCCAACGATAAAGATTTGGGAAAAAAAAAATTATACAATGTGTGTAATTATTACTTTGCGTCCAAAATACGCCTTCACTCAAAGTAGAAACTCTACCCATTAGGCTGTAATTCCCCATTCTCCATTTCCCAAGGCCCTGGGATCCCTTCATCTACTTTGTCTCTATGGACTTGCCATTTTAGACATTTTGTATCAGTAGGATCACATGGGGTTCGTCCTTTGTGTCTGGCTTATTGGACTTGTTTTCAAGGTTCCTTCATGTGTGACATGTATCAGGACACCATTCCTTTTTATGGCTGAATAATATTCCATTGTATGTATACGCACCTTTATATTCTTTTTCTTATTATATTTTAAATCAGTCATTATATGTTTTATGTGTCTGAAGATGTCATGTAGGTTAATTTTATTTTTTTCAATTCTTTTACAGGTTTGACAGATGAAAAAGTGAAGGCATATCTTTCTCTTCACCCCCAGGTATTAGATGAATTTGTATCTGAAAGTGTTAGTGCAGAGACGGTAGAAAAATGGCTGAAGAGGAAGAACAACAAGCCAGAAGGTAAGTCTCATTCAGATTGCGTGTGTTACTTTGCACTTTACAGTGACAGAAAAGGGGCGTTTAGTGCATGCTAGAGAGCAAAAATGAAGTGGACAGATATTAGCATTGCAATTTTGTGATAGTTTTATTCTGTTTAAAAAGGTAACTTAAAGTTAGAATGAGGGAGAATAAACACAAAAGAAAGATCCTTGACTACAAAATAAAATCTTTGTGCCCTGGCCGGTTTGGCTTAGTGGTTAGAGCGTCGGCCTATGGACCAGAGAGTCCTGGGTTCGTTTCCTGTTAAGGGCATGTACCTTGGTTGCAGTTTGTCCCCGGCCCCAGTTGGGGTTATGTGGGTGGCGACCAATCTATGTGTGTCTCTTACATCGATGTTTTTCTCTCTCTCTTTCCCCCTCTCCCTCCCGCTCTATCTGAAGATAAATGCAAAAATGTCCTTGGGTGAGGATTAAAAAAAAACAACTTTGCAAATACTTGAAAATGTATTTAGATATGAACACTTTGAAAAGTGCAATATTAGACTTGGTTCTATTTAATTTTTATTATTAATGATTCTAAAAATATCTTTTATATTGCAAAGCTCTATTTATGTTAATATATTTTGCAAAAAGAAGTTTTCAAATGATTTTTACACGTGCACAGTAAGAGCACTGTTGGCTTTGCATTGCACTCTTCATTCTGTCACACTCGGAAGAAGCAGTTCTGTCGGTGAAAAAGGAAATGTGGGCTCGAGATGGATGTTGTCAAAGGTCCTGCCAGGCTGAGCACATAGAGTCATAGAAACGGTTTGAATGTTGTGGTATAATTTTGGTTTTATGTGAATTATATTTGACCAAACATAATTTCTAAGGATATTGAGTTAGAGTGGAAATTAATTTTAAATATGATTTAAGCTGTGTGAAGATCTTTTATATTAAAAATACCAAAATGAATAATGTTTTTCTGGAAATATATTTAGTGTAGCAAAAGCGCTATATTTAAACTTAAAAGAATCGTTACTGAAATCTTGTGGTGTTAGAAGTACGCTGCTCGTAGGTTGCTTAGAGCTGATTTTCCTTACTCTGGTTTTGAAAGTTTCTATAATTTCTTACATAATTTTTATAATAAAATATAAGTAAACCTTTTATTTATGTATTTTATTAAAACAATTTTTTTTTGCTTAATCCCTTCACCTTTTCACGCAGTCCCCAGCACCCTTTCCTCTGACAGCTTGCGTCTGTTCTCCGTGTCTGTGAGTCTGTTTCTGTTCCGTTTATTTTGTTCATTTGATTCCACATATAAGTGAAATCGAAAGGTACACTCCCTTCTCTGATTGGCTTATTTCACTTTTAAAAAGAGAGCTTTTGATATTGAAATACAAAATAGTTTATAAAGCACATGCATGTGAGTGTGTGTCTTGTGTATGTGTGTGTGTGTGTGTGTGTGTGTGGATTGAGATGGGAGGGAGGTGGGAGAGAGAGAGAGAAATACTGATAAATCTGAGAGACAGGCATGTTCTTCTCAAAAAATCAGAGCATCTAATTCTAGAAACAGCTTGACAGGGCCCATTTCAGCTATTAATCCATCAAGCTTCTGAAAGCAGTGTGTGCACTTTGAAGAGTGGGGCTGGGCTGTGCGTAGCGACATCATGTGGGGTGCAGACTGCACTTCGCTGTGTAAGGGTGGGGAGCTGCTGTGTGAGAATGCACGCTGTCCGTGAGACACGGCGCTGGTGGGGATCTTAGAACACGCGAAATGTGGCGTTCCATGTTAGTGTTCCGTGACGGTTAGCCCTTACATGGTTACATGGGAATATGTCTTTCCATATTACCCAAATCTGTTTTCTGTATTAGTTAATCAAATAATGCCTTAAAACATTTAATGCATATGTTCAACTTATATAATTATTAAGACTATTCTGGAATATTAAGAATATTAATTTGATATCTTAATATTAGTATTATACAAATTAATATTAGTATAATAGATAATATAAAGAATAAAATAGAATGTAATGCTGTAATATAAATATTAAAAATTTAAAATCAATATTAAAATACTAATATTGATATTAATATCGTAATAGATTATATAATATTAAGAATGTGTAACTGAACAGTACTCAGCTATGTTGGAAGAAAATCTTGTCCTTTTAAGGAGATGATTTCAACAGTGACCCTGCTGAGGGCTAGAGACTGTTGAGGCCGAGAAGGAAGAGGCTGATGAGGGGTCCACGTGAGCTTCCCGTCCGGTGGGAGGACAGGTGGGCACAGAGTGCCCGCATTGCCTGGGACATCAGTAACACAGGGATGAAGCAGTTTGCCGAGGACATGTATGCAAGACCCTTTCATTCAACCTCCACAGCCGGGGAAGGGCCCTTCCCCTGTCTTCCAGGTAGTCCATCTCGGCTGTCTCATTGCGTCCACTTTCCGTGCGGCGAGGTTCGGTAGCACGGCCCTTGCAGGTTGTGTGAAAACAAGGCTGAGCTCTAGCCCCGTGGGAAGAAGCCTTGCCCGTTCTCTGAAACGCAGACACCAGTTAACTGTCTTCATTGCACTTAGGGGGTTACAGAGGAGGGTGTGGTCAGCTGCAGGACTTTGGTCCGGATCCCTTCCTCCCTCTTCCTCATTGTGTTTCATTTTTGTTGCACTTTTTATTTATTTATTTTCATTGTTGAAATGTGTTTCCCTCAGCTAGCCTTTATTCTTCTTCCAAGTCCTTTCTGTGAGCACCTCTGAGGAAGGGAGTTTGTGGAGAGGGTTTTCAGGGAGTGTTCTGTGTCCGCGTGTGGACCGGGACAGCAAGTGTGGCAGGTGGGAGGGCTTGGAGGGGAGGTCATGGAAGGAGATGAGCCTACCCAGAGTCTTCATCCTGTGTCAGCTCAGTGAGAGGACGTGAAGGAAGAAAACAGCTGGGAAGTTCAGTTTGTACATATTTCTGTATTACAAATAGTCAATATTTATTTTTATTTTGTAACCACCAATCAACCAGCGTCATATAGAAATGATCTCCACTGGGGGGAGATCATGTAATGGTATATTGTGCTTAGAGAAAGAGCAGATGCGAACATTCACATTTTTACATGAATAAAGGGATGGTTATTTAAATCACAAATTGCATTTGCTTATGAAATGGTCAGCTTTCTTTCCGCTCGCAAGTGTTTTTAGTGATGACTTGATGCTTTATGCTTTCAACAAAGCTAGTTTTTCTTTGTTCATTTGGTGTTTTATTGAACACCTACACTTTGGTTGGTGCTCCTAGGCAAAACACTTAAAAAGTTGACTGTGTGGGCCACGTCAGTTAAACTAGGCTAGGAGGTATGACGTGTCGATACTGCGTGATCATGGAGCAGCTGTGTTTCCAAGGCTCTCGTGCGTCGTTACCCTTCACATCTGGGGCAGTTGGTGGGGCCCAGGTAGGGTTACACCCACTGAGCAGATATTGAAGCTGTAGGGGAGCTGAAGGACCCCTGGAGGCCCAGCATCTAGTTCTCGATAGACTCACGACAGGACTGAGCATGTGTGAGCAACTGGAGGGCATGGGGTCTGGGCAGGGTACTTATTTTCTATCCCTCACCTAACAACAGAGCTGATGTAGAGTGGCGGGTTCTGTAAATATCTGTGAATGAACCAATGAATGAGTACATTAGGGAGGGATAGACTCTAAGCCTGCAAGTGAGCCATTAAGGTGCTGGTCACTACACTTAGTTATCATGTTACTCCTAACACCAGAATTACTTACTCTTCTTATCGCCCCCAGATGCATTGAGAAGCTTCTTGAGAAAAGGAATTACATAACACACATGTTTACATCTATCAAGGTGCTTTTCATTTCATTTATTCAGCAAACTGTGTGTGAAGTACCATTTACATACTGGGATTATTAAGTTTCTAAGGTGTTCACAGCTCTAACAAGTGGAAGAAGAGTTAGAAGTTCCTCCTTCTGCCTAGTTAGCGTGGCTGTGAGGCTAAGCATATCCAGGCTCAGAGCCTGGGAGCGGAGTGGCCTTGTGGACTCACTCTCAGTGTTGTATTGGGAGATGGGGTTTGAAGAGGTGGGCCGGGGATGGCCTCAGAGACACATCTCAGGGTTTCCTGTCCTTGATTTCAGTTCAATATGATTGCTGTCATACATTTTCATCCAGATGCAGCAAGTTCCATATGTAGATTCAAAGCAAATTGTCTTTTGAAGGTGACTTCTGATCCTAAATTCCAAGCAATCAGTTTTCAAATGATGTCTGGACATTGGAGATAGCATTTTTTATAACCTGAAATAATCATTTAGAAAATATATACACATATCCTTGGAAGGCATTGAGGCCTGCGTACCCTTACAACCACAATGACATTTGGGGAAAACTTAGGAAGGAAAGAAAATTATCTACGTCATGATTTATTTCACTAAATGCTACATTTTTATGTGAAGTTTTATCCAAAGTAAATTTGATAGGCCCAACTGGTACTCATCAAGACTCAGATTACTAAACTATGTAACGTATACACATATCAAGTATAAAATTAGCAAATAAAAGTTAGGCTATGCTGAAGGTCCAACCCTGCACTTCTTGTAAGAACATTAAAACAGAACACACTTCCACAGCCTGACGCCGTCCCAGCGTTGCAGTATGTGCAGGAGGAGTCATGAGTCACCTCGACTCGGCAGTGTTGCCGCCTTTGGGCTTCTAATGCCAACAATGTTGAGGTGATACTTCAGCAGTATTTGAAAGGGTACACGAAGAAGTGAGAACATTGGATGTCAGCATGTCTACAGCTGATGTTTTTTGGTATTAACAATAATATTTAAAACATATGAATTAATTTTTTTTTTTTTGGTTCAGATAGTGTGGGAGGGAGGGGGAGAGAGAGAGAGAGAGAGAGAGAGAGAGAGAGAGAGAGAAACATCGACGTGAAAGGGACACATCGAGTGGTTGCCACCCGCACAACCCAACCAGGGCCGGGGACAAACTGCAACGGAGGTACGTGCCCTTAGCGGGAACCGAACCCGGGTCTCTCTGGACCGCA